ACAACATATAATCATCAAGAACTCCACATAATCGTTAAGAACACCATAATTATCAAGAATCTCCCGATATCAAGATCACCCATGGAATTATCCCATCAATCATCAATAATAACATCACAAATCATCAATACACAATAATATGGGGAAATCCTACGGGGGAAATCATAGCTATGAAAATAGGTTTTGTTGAGACATGGGTTACCTCTTAGCCTTAAATAATTCCTTGGCTATGAAGGGTCTTAAATATACATACATACTGATTTTAAAAGAGTTTTAGGGCATGAATATAAACCTTTCAAATATAGATACATAGTTCTGAATGTATAAAACATAGGTTTGGGTGTAAGTGATAGAGGGGTAATAACTCAATCTTATACTCGCATGTAGTCATGCTATCTCACTCTTCAATGCAATTTGAGTAATATATAAATGGTGCACTTAAGTAAAACTTTCATCATTTCATGATACAACACCAAAGTTACCACATACTTAATATTCATAATGTATTTTGAATGCTACTAGCTCTATTACAATGTAGTATACTTTCTCAACCTACTGAAACACAAAGAACCAATAACGCCTCCACTGAGGCTCAAACTCACAATCTTCCAAATGGAAGTCCAACCCGTGTACCATTAGACCACATAGTCCTGGTTAATATTCATAATGTAATGTATCCCAAATCACACTTAGTAAAATCGTAATTCATGCTTTGGTTGAAAAATGGATTTTTTATTCACATACCACTTATGCAATTTCACATAACCAACATTAAATTCCCGAGCCACACGGGCCCACGAGTCTCACAACGGAGCGGAACCACATTAACAGAGCCAAAAGGGGCCCTGTACAGTGGCTCGTAGCCTCCAGGACTATGCAGCAGGATTGGGCAGTCTTGCATCTATGTCCTACGGCACTATGAATCGGAGTGGCAAGACTCGAGGAATCTGCCACTCCGGCCTACTCTTCACACAGGACTAGCCGGCAGGACTAGCTAGTCCTGCAGCGTAGTCCTGCCGCACGAAGAACTGGGCGAGGCAGTGCCTCTGCCGGCATTCAACATTCAACCGCAAACATGCCATAAATTCACAACATTATCATAGCATCACAACAACAATATACAACATTATAAGCATCAAATAACATACATTTCATTATTCTAAATACCCAAAATATATATACACACATAAATAACTATCTCGCATAACTTAGGGCAAAATAATAGATTTGGGCATCCATGGGTTATACGTTGAGATTGCTAGCTCCTAGTATGAATCCCTCCTCCCTTCTTCAACTAGGACCACTTCCTTCACCTCCTATCAACCCCCAAACAAGAATATAGACAACAAACAACATACACACATACACAAACATACACATAGCAGTAGAGAAATGGGTAGGAGAAAATGGAAGAAGAAGATAATGGATGGAAGCATGAAGAAGAAAGGAAGAGAAGAGAATGCTCACAATGATGCCTTCTTGGTATGAAAATTTCTCTGGAGAGTTTTGTGAGGAGGAACATGGAGGGATTGAACATTAGGCAAGGGAATAGTGTAGTATTTATAGGTGGGGTTCAAAACCCTAGGGCTGATTTGTTCACATGGCTAGGAAGGGCAATTTGGTCCTTTCGCGATTTAAAATCTCGGGTTATAATTTTGTGTCAAAAGTTGGATCAAGTTTGGATATAAATGTGATATAAATTTTTAGAAAGAGATTGGGTTCATTTTGAAGCCAAATTTTGAATCAAAACTAGTTTATCAGTTTTTTAAGTCTGTCTTAGATAGACTTTTGGGTCAAGATTTTGATAAATAAATATATACTTTAAATAAGGTTTTCAAAACCATAAATAATTATATAATTACTTTATATTAACTCATTTAAAATAAGGAATTTAAAATAAAAATAATTTTGTGCATTTGGTAAAACCATCGTTGGAATAAAATGATAGAAATAATTATATCTTGGAATTTGATAAAATATGAGTTTTGAAGAAAATATTTTGGGGCGTCACACAAAGAAATTAAATGATTTGAGGGGTCTAAACTCCTAAGCTTGGTATCATCAAAATCTAATTACAAAATGTTCTTAGCAGTGTCTAATCCATGCACTGCTAAGAGCCCAATGACTTAAAGCCTTCTCATATGAGGCAATGGAGCATCCAAAATTGAGACAGATTAACAACCGGCTGATGGCTCCTCCACACATCATGGACATTGTTCCAGAGACTGATATTCCAACAGAGCAAGCATCACAACCTTCATCTCAAGTTGCATTGACCCAAAATCATACCAACCAGTCTATAGCACAAGTACTCAAGTAGAGTATTTCTGAACTAAACAAGGTAATTGAAATCCTGGTGAGGAGACGCAACATTGACATGAAACTTCTTGAGGAGCTTACCTTGAAGCAGGCATTTGAGGAAAGAAACTCCCAGTAGCAAGACAATCAACTCCCTGCTGCCACTGATTTTGATTGATCTTCAGTTACACCGTGCTTGGCCCATCTATGAAATCTTGTGGCTACAGATTCACAAGTTTCTGGCACTGAGGGGGAGCACCAAAAAATCTAATCCTTGTTACTTCTGGTTACTATTACTGGTTAGTGGTTACTATTGCGCTAAACTACCTTTACTAGTTCTTTGTTATTTGTGCTGGTTACTTCTGGTTACTTGAAAATGGCTTGAAATCCTGGACTTGATGTAGCACCAAATACAATATGCTTTTACATTTCTTTTGTTATTAGTATGTCTTTTGGTTGTTCAAAGTTCACATAGGTTCTGATATTTTAATAAGTATTTTTGTGAACTTTGGACTTTAGAGTGTCTTTGGCGTTGAAGTTTGAATCAAAATTAAAGTCAGTATGTTTTTCTCTAAGCATATTTTGCCTTTTAGGCTTACCTTTTTTGAACAACTACATTGCCATAAACTCAAACAAAGGGTGGGGGGATTGTTAATAAAATATATCATTGAGAAAAAGTGTTGTTACAAAAGCAAAATATCCTTTGATCCTCCGTGTTGTTTTGATTTATGGAACAATTCAGTAGTTCAATATCTAGTTCAATAATCATATCTAAAATTGTATTAAAATTAGATTGAGTCTATACTAATAACTCAAAGACATAGTTCAGAGATCAAACGTTTACCGAAAGATGAAGATTGAAGACCAGGAGTGAACAACTTGAGTAGTCAAATTTAAAAGGAAGTCCAAGACAGGTAGTTTGTTAGAGCTAAATCCGGAAGATCAACTATAAATGCCATGTGTTCTCCTACAGAATGGATTGATGATTTCCAAGATTTGCACAACAAAATCCAGAGTTCTAATCAGGGCATATTCATGAAGCATAAATGGAGAAACTTGATGAATTCACAATTCATGTCAAGTTGAATTTGACGCTTGAAGATTACAGGCTGACAAACCACAATTGTACACTCGGGAAAGCTACAGTTCAGGGGGAGTCTCAACTTGGAAGATCGGGAGATCTTACACCAACTCTTCAAGAAGCTTCGACGCGATTGGAAGACTAAGGATCAGCTGTGGAGTTCGAACTGCTTCGCTCAAAATCAATTGTTTGGTAAACTCTTTTGATTGATTATGAATGAAGAGTTGGACAAACCTTATTGTGGTGCCCCCCCTAGATGTAGGAATGTCTATTCCGAACTGGGTTACCAAACTTGCCTTGTTCTTGTGCATGTTTACTTATCGCTTTCTTACAATTTTCTTTATTAACACTCCTTTGCACTACGTTTAGAACTAGTTCATCAGTTATATATCGACAACTCTGTTGCATGTCTTATAAGTTGGGTATTAACGCATAAGTTTAAATTAACTTACCCCTTGCGTAAAACTTCAGTATCTAATAGGAAGGAAGAGTTACATGCTTTGGTTTACGCAGACAGACATCTTAGATGTTGTTGGATATTTTGATGCGGACTTCGCTGGCGGTGTTTATTCTCGAAAATCAACTTCAGGGTGCATATTTATCATAGCCGGCGGGGCTATCTCGTGGAGAAGTATTAAACAGTCCTTAATAACTACTTATACCATAGAAGTCAAGTTCATTTCCTATTTCGAGGCTACTTCAGAAGGTGTGTGGCTCAAGAATTTCATCTCTGGGTTTAGAGTTATGGACTCTATATCTAAGTGATTCGCTCTAACAAGTATAGTGGTATTTGGAACAAAAAATAAATGAATTTTGTTTTTGATCGTCCTAAGGGATTGGGGGTTTGGCTAGCGAAAGAAGATCTAGACACAAGCTCTGAACAATTTATGGAAGCTAAGCAAGTAATAACAGGAGTGAGGCAGCTTAAACATAAGAATATAAATTGTGGAATGAAAATAATGATAAAAGACTAGGGATTGGAACGGGTGTTATTGGTTTGATGCCATGGATCAATGGCTTGAGGGTTAGAAACTTCACCATCAGGTTTAAGACTACCAACTCTAAATTGGTTGAGTAACACGCCACTCTCGTGATCTAATGTTAGACTAATTTGGTAAACGGAAGTTGTCCCACTCTCGTAACGCTACCAATTCTCCTCATTAAGCTCAAATAGTTTGGACCTTCAACACTGCCTTCTCAGCTACCGACTACCCGTCGCCCCAGTCGCCCAACCAGTGGTCTCGACCGGACAACTTACTCGGCCCGTCTGACTAGATACCCTACTTGGGGTATGGGGTATCCAACAGAACTAAAATTACTAATTAAATACATTCACCTTTTGATATGATTAAGTATCTAATTAAGCCCAGAGCTAGTTGAAGTGATTAGATTAATCAACTTTAGTCTTGCAATTTTATCTCCTCAAACAGTTTTATACACGGAATCTTGAGAGCTCATATTAATTCAGTGGTACGGAAAATCTTATCTCAATTAATTCTTCTTTTTTAAGAAAGGAAGAAAAGTATCTAATCAGTAACCACGCCCAAAAGGCCGTAGATCTTTATTAGCAGCTTTTCCTTTAACTAAAATGAAAAATGTGAATAAAGCAAAAGGTGCGACGTGTACATTGTTGTACTGCTCCATGGATAATCGCGTACTCGTGTCACTCTAGTCTACTCACTCCCCACTATATGTTCAGGTTCCTTGTCTGCATTCAAGTGAATCGCGCTCATCTTCACATTTCCATAGACGAACACTCTCCCTATTAAGTAAAGCTATAAAGAAACTTAAAATAATCAATCCAAATATCATTTCCACAATCATTTGCGATCTTATCAACAATCCGGTAAAACCCACACATCGAGAAAGCGACCCGCTGTTTGTTGAGACCTCTTTTGGAAGTGAAGGAAGAGTGGAATTTGTATGTGACATCAACGCCTGCAATGATTCTTGATTTTGTTCTTTAGTGTTTAGTGTCTCTCTATATATATTCTGGGTGTTTGATCGATTGTCAAGATTGGGTGTCATCTGCAACCCATGGCGAAGGTTGAATTTTGGTTCTTGTCGTTGACTCTTGCGGTGGGTGTGTTGTGTGCGGAGTCGAAGTACGTAGTGTACGATACTTCGGCCGCCATTGTTCCCGGGAAGCTCAATGTTCATTTGGTTCCTCACACTCACGATGATGTTGGTTGGTTGAAGACTGTTGACCAGTACTATGTTGGCTCCAATAATTCAATCCAGGTGCTCAGCTTAAAACCTTGTATACCCTTTATTATTGTGAAAGATTCTTTTTTTTTTTTTTTGGGACTTGTGATAAATGAATTGGATTCCTTAATTTAATTTATGTAGGGAGCTTGTGTGCAAAATGTATTGGATTCCTTGATTCCGGCATTGTTAGCTGATAAAAACAGGAAATTTATCTATGTTGAACAGGCAAGTACATTTTTTCTATTTGTACTGGTTTTGTTCTTGCTAATATATATATATATATATGTATGCTGTGTATGTACATTTTGTGGTTATAGAAAACTGATGTAATCTAGCTCTTTGTGCTTTATATTATTATTATTATTGTGCAGGCATTTTTCCAGAGGTGGTGGAGGAACCAAAGTCCGGCAATGCAGAGTACAGTCCGGGGGCTAGTCAATTCGGGTCAACTTGAGTTCATGTATCTGTTATTCTGATCATATTACTTCTTAACCGAATTGTTTGCTGCCTTTTTGGACACAAATTTGTATTATAATTTGAAGCAATAACTTGGGGTGGGGGTGTTATGTGTAAGGAGGAAATGAGCCGGAACGTTTAGAATAATCATTAGTTTTGTTTTGCTTAACTATATATATATATATATATATATATGATTGATATGACTAAAAAATGTTGTTCTCTGATTGTAAATTGTAATGCTACTATTCTTTTTGATTATCAACTACGGGTTCTTTGCCTGCAGAAATGGGGGTTGGTGCATGCATGATGAAGCTGCTACACATTATATTGATATGATAGATCAGACAACCTTAGGACACCAGTATATCAAACAGCAGTTCAATGTTACCCCACGAATTGGCTGGCAAATTGATCCGTTTGGGCACTCTGCAGTTCAGGCATATCTTTTGGGTGCTGAGGTGTCATTACTCTCATCTATGTTTGAATTACAAGACTTGTCTACTAATCTAACTCACAGTTGCACTCGATTCGAAACCCATAAATGAATGAGTTTCTTGAATGCTGTTTGGTTGAAAGAAGATAAAACCTCGAGTTTATTAATTCATTAGTATTGGAACCTTTCCTCATATGAACCACAGTAACCAATCAAACTCACTTTTTGGCCTGTTAGGTTGGATTTGACTCTCTTTATTTTGGGCGAATTGACTACCAAGACAGAGCAAAGCGGAAAGGTGAGAAGAGTCTTGAGGTTGTCTGGAGGGCTTCTAAAAGTTTGGGCACATCCTCACAGGTATAGTTTTTTTTTTTTGTTGTGAATTTGTAATTGATATTACATTAGACTAGGTAGTAATTTCTACTCTGCTATTAAAGTTTTTTGTTTGGTTTTACCTCTTTTGTGCTTCTCATTCTTCAGATTTTTGCTGGTGCATTTCCTGAGAATTACGAGCCTCCAAGTGGTTTCTATTTTGAAGTCAACGACGATTCTCCCGTTGTTCAGGTAAATGGTTAAAAGAATTGTACACCAGGCTCTTCATCTTTTGCTTGCTTTAGATAATGATGGTATCTTTCTTTTGCCAACCCGAAGGACGATACCGATCTGTTTGATTACAATGTCCCAGAGCGTGTCAATGACTTTGTAGCTGCTGCATTGTCGCAGGTGAGATAGGATTTTTCATCTTATAGTATCCACTGCCAATTCATAAATTGTTAATTGCTCGCATTTTCTTAGGGATTAGAACTTATGTGGTAACTTTTATTTGCAGGCTAATATTACCCGCACGAATCATGTAATGTGGACCATGGGAACGGATTTCAAGTACCAGTATGCACACAGTTGGTTTCGGAACCTGGACAAACTCATTCATTATGTCAATCAAGTTGGTGCTCCCCATTATGTTAATGCTATTTTGGTCGTTTATTTTGGTCATAATCATTCATTTCTGCCATTTGACTGAACATATTGTGATTCCAGTAGTTTTAGATGAATTTACAGTTGTAGAAATTCTATTTGACAAAGGGCGTTATGTATTTTTGTAGGATGGCCGTGTGAATGCTTTGTACTCAACTCCATCGATCTACACTGATGCAAAATATGCTTCCGATCAGTCTTGGCCTCTTAAGACTGAGGACTATTTCCCGTGAGTCTGAAAGTTTTAAGATGTTGTAATGCAGACAGACTATTTAAGATTTATAGGCAATTTGGTATTTGGTAGATTTCACAAAAATTTCAAAGATTGATGAATAAATGTCTCTGTTAATCAGATACGCAGACCGTGAAAATGCTTACTGGACAGGATATTTCACAAGTAGGCCAACCATCAAAGGCTATGTCAGATTGATGAGTGCCTACTATTTGGTATGTCTTGCAACTCTTCATGTTTATTTGATAAGTAGCTACTGAATTCTCATTGAGTCTCTTTATATATATATATATATATATATATTGGTTCAAATGCGGACAGTGCTTTCCATGCGGTCGGTGCGGATTCACCATTAGGTATGCAAAAATGCACCACACAGCGTTTAGAAATGCACAATCCAAACAAATGCACCACACCTAGTGGTGCATTTCCGAACACTTTATGTTGCATTTATGCGTACCTAATGGTGATTGACCGCATGGGAACCTGACCCTATATATGTGTGTGTGTGTGCACACACACACGCACATTGATTATATGGCCCCCGGGGCATAGCTCAGTGGTGAAAGCCTGAGTGTGGCTGCGGGTGGCCAGCAAATGTCCGGGTTCAAACCCTACAAGCACTCAAATCACTGCACCACTGAGGCACATCCTCTAACAAGCTCCCCAGGCAGGGTGAAGTGAGGGGCACTTAGGTTTGGGGTTCAAACTTATATATATTGATTATATGCACTATAGGCGGCAAGGCAATTGGAATATTTTAAAGGGAGAAATAAGGTCGGGCCAACTACTGACTCACTTGCTGATGCTATGGGAATTGCTCAACATCATGATGCTGTTAGTGGTACAGAAAAACAACATGTAGCTAATGATTATGCAAAAAGGTTGTCCATAGGTTACACAGAGGTAAGATTCACTCTAATGTCTAAATACAACTTGCGGCTTGTCCACTTGCCAACAAGATGATGTATTTTAAGATAAGACTTCTTGCAGGCTGAAGATGTTGTTGCAAGTTCATTGGCTTGTGTGGTTGAAGCAAAATTGAAATCTGGATGCAAGAATCTGGAAACAAAGTTCAATCAGGCAAACCATCAGGAGCCTTTGTCTTTTAATATAGGGCGTATTTTCTCCAAATATCTAAGAGAGTATCATTGGCAATGCTTTTTATTTTTAGTTATATGCTGCATTTTATTTTATTCATTTCCATAATATTGAGTCTGTCTACTCCAGCTTGAGTTTGCTTTTTGTACACTGTCCTTAAACATTTAATGAACACGCAGTTTTTGTGGTACTTGTGTTCCCTCTAGCCTCTTCTTTCTGCAAAAACCAAGGTTGCAGAAGGCGCTAGGCGCTAATCGGGCGGTCGGGGGCGCCTAGAGCCTAGGTTGCTGCCTAGGCGGCCGAGTAAAATAATAATAATAATGATAAGGTGTAGCTGCCCTAAACCCTTAAAAAAAAATAAAAATAAAAAACTAGGGGTGAAATCCCCTCGGCCTAGGGGCGCCTAGTGCCTAGTCAGCACCTAGGCGGCCGCCTAGACCGATTTTTACAACACTGGCAAAAACATCCCTATATTTTGATGATCCCGAGGTTCATGCATATAAGCTGAAAGACATTTTTCAATACTGTCTTCTCTATTCTTGTTTCCAACTGTAAGGAGAGATATCTTACTTTTGAAGTTAATATGTGCTGTGGCTTTTGTTTGTTTTTTTATTTTTATTTTTATTTTTTCTTTTGAATACATGTCTTCCTGTATATAGAGCTAGATTGATTAAATTTTGTAATTTTCATTTTTTTTCCTTGTATTTTTTTGGTTTCTATTAGTAGTGACCGTTTCTCTCTTTTCATTTCAGTGCCCCCTTCTGAATATAAGTTATTGCCCTCCGACAGAAATTGATTTGTCTATTGGGAAAGAACTAGTAAGTAGTATGTACTGTTGGAACAGTTTTCAAGATTCATTACATTGTATCTGCTGGAATAATGAGAAGATTGCTGAAACCTATCTGTTACAACAATTTTGCTTTCTCTAGGTGATTGTTGTCTATAATCCTCTGGGATGGAAGAGAACAGATGTTGTGAGAATCCCGGTAAGTGTACCTTATGGATTCTCTGATATGATTTAATAATTTTTATATTTTTCAAATTATTTTACTATATACAGAGTTGCCTTTGATGCCTCGCACCAATTTCCTGTTAGTTGCTAGCAGAAAATCTGGCCCTGTTTGGTAAATGGATGTTAGCTGATAGCTGTTTTTAGCTGTTAGCTGATTGGGTTAATTAGAGGGTATAACTAGTTGATAATATTAGCTGATTGTAGAAAGGTGTTTGGTAAATTAGCTGTTAGCTGATAGCTATTTGGTATAATTTCTTTTCTTAAAAAGCTAATTGAAAAAGTTGCTTTGAGTAGCTTTTTGAATTTTAGCATTTTGGAGTACAAAAAGCTAATTAACCAAACACTTATATTCATTTTTAAACCAAGTCAAACAACTAATAGTGGTCAAATAAGCCAAAATTGGCCTATAGGCTAACTATTTTACCAAACAGGGCCAAAATCTTCTTGATGCGTACATTTCCTCGATTACCACCTTCAGTCCGTTATGGATTCCTCGTATGACAAACTGGAATATATGATGCAGGTGACCAGTGAAAATGTTAATGTTTGGGATTCCACTGGAAAAGAAGTTGAATCACAGGTTTTTCCAGTAGTAGATGCCTCAATATCCATGAGGAAAGACTATGCTAAAGCCTATGTCGGCAAATCTCCAAACACAGCCCCCTTATACTGGCTTGCATTTACCGCAACTCCTCCTCCTCTAGGTTTTACCACATATACAGTCACCCGTAGTGGACAGAAAGGTTAGCTGCTAACCTGCATATCTACTCTTTTATATATCAACGGTATACATGGTTCATTAATGTTTCCCGATGGATTACGAACTGTATTTTTTTAGCAGCTGCTACAGTGAAGCAGACAGTACTTGGGTCCAGGACGAGTCAAAATGATGATATAGTAGCAGGGCCTGGCAACTTGAAACTTCTATTTTCTGGAAATGACGGAAGACTTGCTAAATTTGTTAATAGCCAAAGCAAGGTATATAGTTAATTCAATAATTCGTCAGATTTATTTAGAGGGACTAAAAATGTCATTTCTCCTTAATTTTTATACTCAAGAATTCTTTGTTAAATGATAGCAAAAGCTGACGCTCCTTGCATATCTGATCCCCTTCCAATTCACCTGCACTCACTTTCTTTCGTAACATCATTACTTCCTCATTATCATGTAAGATTGGACTTGGGCTATAATGCACATGGGTCAAACCACACTAAAAGATTGAATCCAATCAATTAGCTAGTCTAACCCATAGCCTATAAACACATATGTTCTCTTTTATTTTATCAATGTCGGACTCTTACCACTCCCCTCGAGTGGACTACCGGGCCATTTTGAATCTAATTGGTTTGACCACTTGAAATTGGATGCCACCAATACCACGGGTAGACAACCGGGTGAACACAAAGTGGACCGAACAGGCTCTGATACCATGTTGAATGATGAGAATAAAAGGGATTTATCGTATTGTCTGTCTAAAACTATACAGAGATCTACTATTTATACAAGTATTATGGGCCCATACACATCCAAAAGTTAATCATGCCCACATTATGTTCATTAAACGTTTCTTTATTTTCATTGCAGATTAGTGCTGCTGTAGAACAATCCTACATTTATTATTCTGCTGATGACGGGAGTAAGGATAAGGATAGAGATCACTATCAGGTGATACTCTCTTCAAACATTTGTTATTGATATTTTATGTAGTTTCGTTAATTCAATTGTTTCCAGTTTACTATATATGTTATTGTAAGAACTATTTACTTCTGAAGGCTTCTGGAGCATATATATTTCGTCCAAATGGTTCGTTTGCCATCAACTCTGAAGGAAAGGTAAGAGAGACATTTTGAAGGTACGGGCGTCTTTCCTATGCTCATGTAAAAAACTTATCAATTAAGATGCTGGGTGTTAACATATTAGGTCCCCCTTAAAGTTTTGCGTGGGCCCCTTTATGATGAAGTTCATCAGACGATAAGTTCATGGATATACCAGGTAAATATACCATTCCATAGTAATTGCAACTTTTAACTCCTCTTCAAGATTTGTTTTTCTAGTGTTTTTATGCTATAAAATTATTTAAATGTAAAAACAAAGATAAGATAACGCAGAATTTTTTATTGATGTGAATTTCCAAGTGATTTTGCAACTAAAGTTGATGGAGTAAAACACCATCTCCCTCCTCGGACCCATAAAAAGTGCGAGCATGTGACTTTGTTTGTATAAACGTATAATTACCCAGAAAACTCCAGTAGGAATATTTTCTCGTTCTAGTATTTCATCTTTTCCGGTGCCATCAGAAATTTGTATTTCCTTAAAATGTTTTGCTAAGCAGTCATGGCTAAAATACATGGGCAGGTTACTAGAGTTTACAAGGAAAGAGAGCATGCCGAAGTTGAGTTTACTGTAAGTCAATTTAATTTAGTTTTAGCCATGTTATCTGCAAACGTATCGATCGGTGATTAGGAGGATGGAGAAAATGCTGAAATTTCAAGTAATACTTACATAAGAAATTCTGGATTTCAGATTGGCCCAATACCTATTGATGATGGAATAGGGAAAGAGGTTGTGACTCAGATTACAACTGAAATAAAAAGTAACAAGACATTTTACACTGATTCTAATGGGCGTGACTTCCTTGAAAGGGTGCGTCACTTTCTTTTTTCTATTATTATTATTTTCTTATTGTTCACATGAGAGTATGAGAACGTATGTAATGTTGCAGATTCGGAATTACAGAACTGATTGGGACCTTCAAGTGAATCAACCAGTTGCGGGAAATTATTATCCTGTATGTTTTTTATTATGGATGTAACATCTTCTTTACGTGCATATTTTAGTATTTAGACAATCTGACTAGCTTATACTTCACTCTATTGTCATTTTGTTCGCTGCTTATTACATAAAGTTTGAGGCGGCTTCTCTAGTTCAAAATCCAGAATGTGTTGTTTTCATGAGAACTCTATCTGCTCCACCTTATATAATCACATTCTTTCAGATTAATCTCGGGACATACATAAAAGATAGCAACACAGAGCTCTCAATCTTAGTCGATAGGTCTGTGGGAGGATCGAGCCTTGTTGATGGGCAATTGGAGCTGATGCTTCACAGGTAGATTTGCCGTGTCCCTTTCTAGCTAATCTAATATTTGCGTTTTTTTTCCCTCCCCGACTTTTCTTTCAATTTCCCACTTTACACTACGAAACCATTTCTATTATATGTACTATTTCACAAGTTCAATTTAATCTATATAGGAGATTGCTTCATGATGATGGTAGAGGTGTTGGTGAAGCACTAAATGAAACAGTATGCGTTACAGACAAATGTGCAGGGTTAACTGTAAGCGAATTTGCAGCTCTCGTTTTTATATTAATTTTTGTTATGGAATATATATTATATATTTGATATATAGAATCTCTATATATTAGGCCGTTTAGGAGTTTAGGTAAGTAGGACATATGGAAACTTGTTTCCTATACGTAGTCTTCTAGTACCTATTTATAAGGTTTTGTATTCTCTATTCTAATGATAGTTTGAGACAATATATGACAGCACATTAGAAAAACTCTCTCCTCACTTTCGTAACAATTTTGAACTTTAACTATGTATTTTAATCGCCATTAAAAGCCGTAAATACAGTTAATATTCTCAAATTTGCTAACTTTACTGGATTCAAGCATATAATGCAGCATCTACCTCTGTTTGCTTACGTAATGGTTCTTTTAGGTACAAGGAAAGTACTATGTAAGAATTGATCCAATCGGAGAGGGAGCTAAGTGGCGTCGATCTTTTGGACAGGAGATATATTCCCCGTTTCTTTTAGCCTTTGCCGAGCAGGTTACGTTGTGGGAAGGCCTCAATGATATTTTCCCTTAATACGAGATATCTTACAAAAGTTTTGTTCTCACGATATTTCCCTTGAAACGAGGATTTGCAGGATATAAATGAAGGGATGAAGTTTCAAATTCCTACATTTACAGGGATAGACCCTTCCTACAGTCTTCCTGATAATGTTGCAATTATCACACTACAGGTACCCCTTCATCTCCCTGCAAATGATATAAATATGCTTCAAATACTAAGTAGAAATTCGAAATTACAATTCCTTCCCCTCATTGCCCGCTACACCTTTGAAAATTGCAGGAGCTTGAAGACAAGAGTGTGCTCGTTCGGTTGGCACATTTATACGAGGTTTTTCCCGTTCCCAATATATTCATGCACTTTTACCCCCAATCGTTGCATTATGGTGCCATTAGATCTTCGATTTCCTTAGCTAGAGCCTAGACCAATTATTCTCTCCAAACATGAATGTTATTCTCCTGAAATTGGCCATCGTAATTTCAAGAATAGAATAAGATTTGGCCATGATGGTCACAACTCACAAATTAAAGCTTTAGATTTCGTTCATCAATTGGCCTAAGAACTATTGTTTGTGCACTTCTATATATAACTTTGGTTTTGTACTGTTGGTTTGATTATAGGTTGACGAGGACAAAGATCTATCAACTGTAACTAATGTAGAATTAAAGAAGCTGTTCCCAGGAAGGAAGGTGAGACAACATATACGTATATATCACCGGATCTCATTAGCATTTTGCATAAGATCACAATTAAACATCATATCCTTCTTCAAAATGTCCGTTTCCAGATTAAGAAAGTTAAAGAAATGAGTTTAAGCGCTAACCAAGAACGAGAAGAAATGGAAAAGAAAAGGCTAGTATGGAAAGCTGGAGGTTCTTCCAATGGACAAAAGGCATCAAGAGGTGGCCCCATAGATCCTGTTAAACTCATCGTGGAACTTGCCCCAATGGAAATTCGCACTTTTGTTATCGGATTCAGTTCCGAATTATCCATGAAAGTGTAAGACATCTTGCTACCACTTTTGTTTGTTATTGCAAGAACATATATGCTTCAATCTTGATATTGGACTGTTCTAATTTCAGCCTCTCGTTTATACAGGTTGAATTCACATTTCTTTCTGAAATAATTGCCCCCCGAGATGAGGGCACTGGACGACTTGACGGCTAACCTGTTTGTGTGATGAGTGTTTTTTAGTTGCTTGAACAATGTTTTCAGATCTCTTCCTCATCTTAAATAAGAAAGCCTTTGATTTTCTATGATGTTGGTTTTTATCTTCTTGTGATTTAGTAAAAAGCAAATCTATTGGGTATGGGATGTGAGATAACACAGGTCTCTTTTCAGGTTTGAGCTCTAAGAATGCAGGTGTTTTAAAATCCATGAGGGTACCTGCAAACAAAATTACTCTGATCCTTTGAAGCACTCCATCCATACTAGCTCCCCAGGAAGTACTGGTTCTCAATGTAGATGAAATTCTTGGCGCGACGAATGGCATTGATATACGCATCTTGAATACTATGATCAATCACGTGGTTTTTCCCAGTTATCAGCCCACTCTCCGCCGCCTCCACCGGGTTCCCAGGGAACCCAGCGGTGTCATTCCCGTCGATGGACCGGAAAATCTGAACAGTCCACCTCTCAGGATCATCCAAAACCGGAAATTCTGAGGGGCGGATAGTTAAGCCTTGCAGCTCCTTCATGGAGTATATGTACTTATCCCTGATATGTTTCTTCCATCTCTGCTCAAAATTATAGAGCACATCCCAGGCCGCAGGGCCTTCTAACCTGCATTTACGGATGTGCAAATTTCGGTAAATTTTCAGTTATTCAATCAAACAGACAGAATTCGTTAATCCTTTTTAACTGAACTTTTTCAGTTTATTGGTTAAACGTTTTTTTAAAATTTGGATTAATGGTTAATTCAGTTCGGAACTGTCAGTTAACTGAATTAACATAACAGTTAATCAAAATTTTAAATATATATAAAAATAAGTATATAATTGTTATGATATTGTTTTTGTATATTTTCTTATGAATTTATTATTCTATATATTATTTTAATTGGATTTATTATTATATGTATTACTTTTAGGATTTAAAACATTAGTTTAAAAATGTTCAGGAAATTGGTTAGCGGCAATGTTGAAAAAATCGCTAGGCGCCTAGGAAGCCAACCGTATAGCGTCGAAGTGCCGATTAATCGGCACCTAGGCGCGATTTTTTCAACACTGGTTAGCGGGAAACAATTTAGATTCAGTTAATTAGATAATACAAAGTTTGGTTTAATTAACAGTTAAAATTTTAAAATTTTTTTGTTAAAACTGTTCAATTAACCAAACCGTTACCCGATTGAACACTCCTACCTGCAATGGATGTCGTGCCAGGGCTCCTTCAGGCCGCCTTTACTCACATTCGCTCCTGGGAAATTAGGCTGGTGGAAATCCTCCTTGTGGGTTGTGTTTAATGTCCGGAATAGTGAATGCTCCCTGGTATCATATCGGTCGTCACAGAGATCAATCCCGCCCAGGAAACTAAGAATAGTCCGCTTTCCAGAACTGCCGCCGCCATGGAGCTCACTATCCACTATCACTGTTTTCTGGTGATGAGTGAACACTGTTGTTCTGGTGGTGAACTAGATCCCTTAATTGGAATTTCTCGGGGATAGGATGTGACACCCTGAAATCCAATTTCGGTTAAGGGATTAATTAAGTAATTAATCCTATTTCAATTCGTAATTCAATTCCTGAAATTTAATAGTCGGGGACTAGTAATTGACTAGTCAACCCCTAAGTCAAAGTTGTACCTTAAGCTTTATAAGGAGTTCCCTTGTTCCCTTACACTTCCTTATGTTAGTAAGGGTATTCTTGACCTTTCACTTGGTGTTAGTATTGTAACCTAACCTAGTAGACCACCTTCATTCTTTCCTTACACTTTCTAAAAATCTAGCTCCACCTTCTCTCTAAAAAGGTAGATAGCTTTCCTTCCAAGCCAAGATTGAAGCCTTGCCAAAACTTCAAGAGTTGCTTCCAAGATTCAACCTTTCATATATTTGGGCATCTAGGAGGATAAGATCTAAGTTCATCTTGTGTTTTTAGTATTATCTAAGGTGTCTTTTCTTAAAGATAGGATCTTTATGATCTTTTGGTATGTTATTGAAGTGGGTTTGGAAGGTGAACCTTGTGAGGAGCTTGTTGAGGTGTAAAGTGAAGTCTTTAGTCTACAAGAGGTAACCCATGCTCTACAAAATCTATTTTGCTTATCTATATGAATATTTCTTGGATTCTACATGTGTTTTTGCTATGAAATGTGAGTGTTTATGCATTGTCTTGTGAAAATGCATATCTAGAGCTTGTGTTTAGGGTTCTTGTGTGCCATTGCTTGGCCATTCCTTTGATTCAAGTCATTTTGTTGTATTTGGTGAGATTTGGCATGTTTTGGACTTGAATTTGAGTTTGGAGATGAAAATCGCCGAAGGGATTGTTTTGGTACAGGGTGTACCCGCGGGCAGAACAGCGGATAGGGGTCCAACCCGCCGCCCACCCGCGGGGTACATTATATTGGTTGGCCTGTACCCGCGGGCGGAACCACGGGTAGGAGCCTACCCGTGGGCCTACCCGCGGGGTACGTATTGTGGTTTGGCGGGGATTTGTTTCCCGTGATTCTTTTGACTCAGTATTTGGTCTTTTGACTTCCCGTTGTTCTTTTGTGGAACTATTTGAGTGTCTTCTTGATGTTTCGTATGTTTAGAACTATATGGTAGGAATCCATGTAGGTTTTGGTGTCTTGAGTCGTGCTAAGTGTTCAACATTGTGTTTCGTTGAACAGTGATGAGTCTTGTGTGTTCTTCAGAACTACGTTTGGTTTACCCGTTTGATAAGCATGCTAGTTCGGTGTTTAAATGCTAGCGGGTGTGTTGTTTGTACCTTCCGATTGGTTGATGATAACTTGTGTTATTCATCGTTGTTGTTGTTAGACTGTGATCCATTTCTTGATTGAGTATGGTTTCATATCTTCGTTGTGATCCGTTGATTGAATCCTGTTGTGGTGTGAGACGTGTGAGTGGCTTTACCTGGATTGCACGATTAGTGGTATGGGACACTAGTCACCAAGGTATTGCAGCGGTCCTCGTGGTGGCCGTGACGTGATTATGGAGTTGTGACCTTTGTGTAAGGTTCACGTATTTCTTGGGAGGCATGTGTTGCCGTGTGTGTGATCGGTACCCTCGTGTACTATGAATTGGTGGTTTTGTTGGCGGTTTGTCGGCAGATGGGGACGACGGTCCTCGGAGGGAAAAGGTTGGACTTGGTTGTACAGGGGTCCTGGAGGTAATGGTTGGAAGAAGAAATAAGGTTGGGGGTAGCCATAAGGTTGGAACCGGGCATAAGGAAGGCATATCAACTCGTGATGGGTGATGTCACGAAGGCTTGTGTAGCCGTTGTTGTGAGTTCTTCTGTTGTGACGTGTGTAGTCACAAAGGCATGTGTTGCCTTGGCATGTGTTGCCGTGGGTGAGTCTTATTCCTTTGCGTGATGCATGTCGGGTTTTGATCTATTGTGTGATGATAGATCATACCTTGAGACTTCTTCTGAGTCGTGTTGTTCTTTGTGGTCTTGGGATGTGTTCCCGTGTTCTTGTTGAGAGTGTTGAGTCTTGTGTTGACTATTACTCTTGGTTTTGGACTTATATATATGTATTCCGTTTCGAAAATGGCTTTACAAACTTATATCTTATCTATGTATGATATTTCACATGTATTGGTGGGTTACCAGTATTATTCGCTGACCGGGCGTCGTCCCATGTTTATTGTGTTCTTTCAGGTGATGTCTAGGCGAGTGCGCGGTCTAGTACTTGCTAGTATAGCTTCTCCCTTACGTTTTGTGGCCTGTGTGCCAGTTTAGATGTAGAACAATGAGACAATGGGTTTAGAATTAAACATTGCAGATGTTGCCTGTGCGTTCATCTCTTTGGTGAACGTGGCATAGCACCCCGTATTCCAGTTTATTTATATACATCTATCTTTCAGTCTTCCGCTGTGATTATTGTTTGGTTTAGTTATCTGCATGTTTAAGGCTTTAAAATATCATGTTTTTAGGGGGTGTTACATAGGAAACAATGGACACCCGTATCCCGGAAATAATCGTAGGTTTCTTGGTCGTGGGTTGCCATTAATCCATCCTTCTTGAAAACCTCGATGGATGCCTGGTCGTCCCAAACCAGGACCAAAACGTTAACCCCTTCCTTGGCTTTCGTCTTTAGCAGATCGCCGAGAAACATGTCGCCGCCGGGTTCCTGTCTCGCCGGGTCTATAACCAACGATATCTTGGTGTAAACGGACCAGCCCGTGATGTAAATCAAGTGCCGGGCGTTAACGATCGCTTGAAAAATGTCTTCCCAGCACCAATCGGGGTCGGCGAATCCCTGATCTTGGAGATACTTGGCCATCTTGTCGTCGGGGACGTGGGCGTCGGCGTAAAGCCTGACGCTGCAATTTTGCTATTCCTTAAAGAACGTGAACAGGACGGCGCCGGGATCCCTCTAGACCAGTCGTCGTCTTCTTTCACACTCGAGTACTGTAATCTGACGTGAATTCTAGGGTGGCCGTGGACGGAAATGCCTTCTTCGTCGAGAATTGGGAGCCATGTGTCCACCACGTACTTGTTCACGACCTCCGCCGCCAGGAGATAGGCTCTTCCGATGAGTGTGGCATCGATGGGGTCGTCGTATTTCACCGTGAAAATGATGTGGGAGATTGCGTGGGCGCAGTAGATACGGAATGGCTCGTTCCATATGGGATTGGAATGGTGGTAATGGTGGTTTTCTACGACTTGGGTCCTCCCCACTCTTGCCTTGTCCAGATCAATGGTTGCATAGAGCTTAGTACCTGTAATCTGATCAACAATTTTCACCAAGTTATTTTAAAAAAAAAAGATTTATATTTTGATTATTTATGAATTGACCGACATAAAATCATTAATGAGGTGTTTGGTACCCTGTAATTGCAATTCTTACAAGGCGTTTGGTTGGATGTAATTTAGTGGTAATTGAATTGTAATTCAATTGAGGCCTCAATTACACTATTTGGTTAGAAAGAATTGCAATTTCCTCCTTTTGTTGAATTGTTGCAATTCAAGGCTGGTGGGAAAGGAAAAAATTGAAGAAATGACAAAAATACTCTGGTTGATTGTTATTATTATTAATATTATTACACAAGGACATTTTAGTTTTTATACCACTTTTTCCTTCTCACCCCCAATAATTCTAT